GCCTCCCTAGGGAGGTGTTCCAGGCACGTCCAGCTGGGAAGAGACCAAGGGGTAGACCTAGGACCAGGTGGAGGGATTATATCTCTTCGCTGGCCTGGGAGCGCCTTGGGATCCCCCAGTCAGAGCTGGTTGATGTCGCCAGGGAAAAGAAAGTTTGGGGCTCTCTGCTGGAACTGCTACCCCCGCGACCCGATCACGGATAAGCGGGAGAAGATGGATGGATGGATGGATGGAAGAGCAGCCAACACTGCAGCGGTCGGTAAATGCTGCCGAAACACATTAATAAACAATGAACCACGGCACTCTGGAGCAAAGTATAAGGTTGGAGAAGTCGTTATTCAATTTATTATGGCTGTGTGATTAAAAGCAACACGATCATCGACCCGACGCAGTTCCCCGTTGTTGTTGTTGTGAGCGCGGTAATGCCGTTGGGGAGCAAATCAGCGATGTAAACGGTGACGTCATGACGCAGCAGCGGCAGCACCAGTCGGGTGCTGGGCGGTGTGAACAGAGCGGGAGCAGAAAAGGGAAACCGGAGCTGAACCAGAAAAGCTCTAGCTCGGAGCTAGAAAGGGAAAAGCGCTGGTGTGAAAGCCGAGAAACGCGGATCTTGGGTCCTTAGCTTGAAAAAAAGAAAAGAAGAGGAGGCGGAGCTAATGCCTGATCAGAATTCTACCAGAGATAAAGTTAAATTCTGCTGTGATAAAATGCCATCCTGTTTAAACCACATCAAGGATTATTTCTGAAACAGTATGGAGCTCAAATGCTTTTTCTCTTGCAGGTTTATCACAAGGTGAGTTCCTTTTTGTATTTCCTGCTTTTTAAACACATGTGCTCTCCAGTACAGGTTAGCTCTGAGTGTTAGCGAGGCTTGCTAATGTAAACAAAGGCGAGATTACGTCCAAAACACGTCAGGCATTGTTTCTGATAGCAACTCTCTGTGGGTCCGCTGCCAAATTGATGTCAGTTCGGATGGAATCTGTATCCGCTCGTTGTTCCCCCGTTTTTAAAAGATTTGGGTACGGAGGAAAAGAGAGAGGGTTTTATTTTCTGACGCTGCGTGAGTTCCCCGACACACCGGGGACACATGACATATTTATGTATAAAATACATCACAAAGTGCATTTTGCATGATAGGTGCCCTTTAAGGTACACAAATTCACCATCAACTAGTTGTTAATTAACATGCATATTAGCAGTATATTGGCTCTTTATTAATCATTATAAAACACTTATTAATTCCTTATTCTACATGACCGTAATCTACAAGTAATAGGCCATTAGTTGAGAGTTTTTCCTCAGTGCCACAGTGACGCATCCTAAAACCCGAAAGTAAGCTTCTTCCGGTTCCCTCGACAAAAAAGCGATGCAATTTCTCCAGGATTTTGGAAAATAGGTCGAAATAAGGTCTGTGGTTGACACACATTTAAGAGATGGATCACATTTTGTTCAGTCGGATAATCTCCACATGTATAGAGCCATGGCTGCATGGAACACACTGCCAGATCAGATTTCTAAAGAAACAACTAAAGCAAGCTTCAAAAGACGATTGAAGAGGCATCTAGAAGCCCAAAGACTGTAAATTACACAAGCGGCAGACAGGTTATGGTAAACATACAGCAGCACACCGATTCATATAGGTTTTTTAAACACATGCAGGAATATGGTACTTTCGCTAACATAGACACACACACAGCCTTTCACAGTTATGATGAGGATTGTATTTGTTTAGTTTGTTTTACTCTAAAAGAAGCGAAGGGAGACATTTGGAAAATCACTATTATTATTATTCTTTTTTTGAATTTTTCTTTCCAAGGAAATGGGGAATCAGAAAATAAGCTGTATGTGATGGTTGATATGAAAGTCACTGTTTGAAGGAAAATTGACGCCGTACACGATTTGTATCATTGTCTTGTAATGTACTGTCGAATGTCATGTTTTATGTTATTTGTGGACCCCAGGAAGATTAGCTGTTGTTATGCACCAGCTAATGGGGATCCTAATAAAATAAACAAATAAACAAATGTATACCCTACTTTTATAATTTTCGAATCATAAATCTATCGATCATAAATCTATCGATTGTCAGACATATTGGACCCAATCTCCTCAAGGTACAAATAAGCTTCAGGACTCTGGGTGGGCCTTTTTCTATGGCAGCAGTTGGTATTTGAAGACTGTTGATGCTGTTAGATGTTGGACTGGCTGAGCGAGTTTCGGCCTGTTTAGCCTGTTTTAGCTGCGGGACAAACAGCCGTCAGCAACAGGAAGTCAAATATTGAGCAGAGCATATTAAGACCAAAACTCATGTACATCAACTTCCTTACTTGCATTAAATAAGCACTAATTAGAGGGTTATTGAGGATACACTCAACTAATGGCCTATTACTTGTAGAATATGTAGAATAAGGCATTAATAATTGTTTTATAAAGACTAATAAAGAGCCAATATACTGCTAATATGCATGTTAATTAACAACTAGTTGATGGTGAATTTGTGTACCTTAATATAAAGTGTTACCCAACATAATATTTTGATTCTCCTCTGTCTGAATAAATAATATACTATAGCCTATGAATTTTGATTGATGCAGCCATCAGACAACGTTCCTCTGTGGAAACTCAGCCTCTGGGCGGGGCATTAACTTTGGCATCAGTTCACTGACATTTAACAACTGGTTTGTTTGGAGATGTCTGATCGATAAAGGAAGTTTTAGGCCTGTGTAGACTGCAAACAGTATTACAACATGTTTTTCATCCTGCTTTCAATAAGCACACATTGCATTGGTTATGTATCATTAGCGATTATCAGACGCAGAGTTTGTATTCTAAACTCATCTAGTTGGCAAAGCTTTTTGGTAATTGGTCCAGATGTGGGGACAGCAAATGACCAGACTATCAAAGCTCCCTGTAACACGTAGACCTGTAACAATACAAGTCGACTAAACTGGTCTGTGATTTGAATCGGTAAACAGTTTCCTTGTTTTTGTTTTTTTAAATGACCAGTACACACAATTGGAATCAGAAATTCACATATTAAAAACGTCAAATTTAAACTGGAACAGTATCCCCTTTTGCTTTTAAGCCAGGGAAAATGTGCACGTCACTTTAACCCTTGTGTTGTATTCGGGTCTCCCGTGACCCGTTTCAAGTTCAAATTATATAATAACTACGCAATAGTTTTTTTTATCGGAACAAGGCTTCATGATATCCTCCACAACAGCCATATAAACACTACAAAACTGATTTTTACAATTTTAGCTAAGTCTGAAGGTCTCAAAAAAAAAAGTGTATAATTTGGTGTTCGGGTCTGGGGAGTCCCAGCAGAATGGTTTTGGGTGACTCGGGGTCAAATTTGGCCCAATCAAGATTCACCTTTGACTTTAGACACCCCACCCACTTCATCCACTGTAACAATAATGTTAAGTCTATTAAGTCTATTATAGTCAGATAACATTATTATCCACTGTCTTCACTATAAGGAATATAATGAGTGAATATAATCAAATGTTTTACTTAAATATGTGGTGTGATGTGTTTTGGGGCCATAAAATAAAATTACAACAGGGTTGTACAGTTGTGAATGCACAATAAGTTAGTTATGATGTAGTTCAAACAATATTGGATGAAAGTCATTATTTTGGAGTGTTTTGGACTGAGATACATCATGGGTCAAAATTGACCCGCGAACACCATGAACAGTAACAGCTTTGGAACACAACACAAGGGTTAATAATGTCTAAACATGAGGAAGATACAAACCTAACCAAAAGAGCTGCAGTAAGAGGCGGGGCAAAGCTGGAAGGGCAACATATCAGAATCCTTAAATCAAACTCAAGGTCTGCAAGTTTTGCAGTAGTGTTTCGACACTGGAGACAATTCTGTTTCTCTATAAATAAATATTAAACTCATCCAGTCGTCAGCTCTTACTCAACTACACATCAGCGTCTCTGCTACAAGGGTGAGTAGAGCTGTCAATATTTAACTATAACTGTATTTTTTAGTTTTAACACAATCTTGCTACACCTTTTGTGCAAATGTTGAATGTAATCAAAAGTATAACATTTAAAAAAACGATTCGATTTTTATGGGATATTTCAAACATATTGGACCCAATCTCCTAAAGGTACAAATAAGCTTCAGGACTCTGGGCGGGGCTTTTTCTATGGCAGCAGTTGGCATTTGAAGAATGTTGATGCTGGAAGATGTTGGACTGGGGACAAACAGCCGTCAGCAACAGGAAGTGTTTCTGAGTGATAAAAAATTAGATCTGATCTGTGAGATTTGAGAAATGCACAATCGATACAGTTCGATAAACGTTCGATGAACGTTCGATACTTGCTTTGGCAAGGGAAACCATAGAGATCAGGCTCCTACAAAATTCAACACAATAAAGACTAGATAAATCATAATATAAAATAAAAGATTAATACAGGAAGCAAAGAGGTTCTGCTTTTAATATACAAACCTAAAAATAGTGTTTACCAATTCTACTAAAATATTATTATTATTATTAAATAATAATGATTACAAAAATGTAATAAAATAAATAATTATTATAATATATAATAATTAAATAATATGTTTATTATAATAAAATAATAGCAATTGTATTAGAATAACTTTTATCATAATACTAATAACACTAATACTAATAATAACTACAATAATAATATAATTAATGTTGGTACATCATCTGAATTATGGATTGTATTTTTATGGAATTCTTGAATTTATAAATTTTAAAGAGAAAAACGAATATCAGTGGTATTACTACAACAACAATAATATGGTAAATAAGATACTGAGATGTTTGCACAGAGATTTCCTCAGGTCAATTGTTTTATATATTTGAGTAACTAAGAAATATTTTTATATATTTTGCAACTTAATGTAAAGTAACCTTGATTTAAGAGGTTCAATCACTGGGAGATATCATTCTCTACTGTCTCTTTTTTTCTTAGCTTAATGAGGACATTTAACATGTTGTTATGTTTCAGCATTAGGCAACAACCTCATCAATCGAGACCCAATATCTCACGAGGAACAAGTGAGAACAGGATAATATGATTGCTTTAATTCAGGCAACAAAATGCCATAATGATCCATAAGGGATGCTGCCTGAGAGAAAACACTCTTCTTCCTTGGTATCAAGACCACTAATGTTACATACTCAATGTCTAAAAGGCCTTTAGTTTATTTTATTGTATATAGATTTCAGTTTTAGAGTAGATACATATTGTACTTGTTGTATGGATGTGGATTATGTCATCCATGACATTTAACTGACCAATAAATGTAACTGAAATCTTCTGATTAAAGTAAAACCTGATCGTAATAAAGATTAGAAACAGCTTGACACACCTGTGAAGCAGAACCTTTGCTCCCTAACTATCATAGAAAACCTTGTTGATCAGAGGGAGGGAACCAAACCATCAGACAGTGAGAGGAGGAGCTACACTGGAAAGAGGAGAGCTTACACGTCAAACTCAGGAAACGAATGTTATGTTAGTCAGAGAGGCAGCCACACTGCAGTCGAGACTAGTCTCTGTTTCTGTCTAAAGAAAATACAAACTGAGTTCATCAGATCTTTCTCAACAACACAGCAGAGTCTCTGTCAAACACTGGTGAGTACATCTGATTATATTTACACTGTGAACAAGCAGGATTAACACAAAACAGCCATTCTCAGGAGAAAGCCCCACCCTTTACGTCCAACTTGTTTTTCTCAAACAACATAACCATATAGAGTCCACTCTAAACAGTCTCTTTGTATCAACTCTTAGTACTTTAGTATTATTATGGTTTGCTGATCACTTCCTACATCATGCTTTTACCCATTTCCTCTAGCTGTTTCAAAATAAAAATATTTCCATTAGAGAAACAGTTGGAGGCTTTTAATGTGAAGCAGCTAGAGGAAATTAATGGTTATGGTCACACAGTGAGAAGAGCAGTGTTGTTTTTCAATAGAAAAATGATCGAGACAACATGTATTTTCATAGCTGTTTGCCAGAGTTGCATGCTTGAACCTGTCAGAGTTAAATGGTCACGGTTGCTCATGACTTGTTACAAGTTATCACACTTCTTTCTTTAAAACAATATATGATATGAATTAATGATTGATGTTTCAAATGTTTTTTCTTTACTTTCACATGTGTGTAGATATGGCTGCAGCAAGCTACCTGCCATCTGAAGATCAGTTTCTGTGCTCCATCTGTCTGGACTTGTTCACTGATCCAGTCACCATACCATGTGGACACAACTTCTGTAAAGACTGCATCACTGACCACTGGGATACAAATGACAGGTGCCAGTGTCCCATGTGTAAAGAGGCTTTTAATACAAGACCAGATTTGAGAGTCAACACGTTCATCTCTGAGATGGTCGCTCAGTTCAGACAGTCGGCTCAACAGAAAGCCAGCAGCAGCAGCTCAGAGCAACAAGTCTTCAAACCAGCAGAAGTTCCCTGTGACGTCTGCACTGAAACCAAACTGAAGGCCCTGAAGTCCTGCCTGGTGTGTCTGACCTCCTACTGTGAGACTCACCTGGAGCCTCATCTGACAATGTCAGGTCTGAAAAGGCATCAGCTGATCGACCCTGTGGAGAACCTGGAAGACAGGATGTGTCTGAAGCACGACAAACCTCTGGAGCTGTTCTGTAAGACCGACCATACATGTGTCTGCATGCTCTGCACTGTTTCAGACCACAAGATGCATGATGTGGTTCCTCTGAAGGAAGCATATGAAGGGAAGAAGGCAGCGCTGGGAAAGAAAGAGGCTAGAATTCAGGAAATGATCCAGAAGAGACAACTGAAGATTGAGGAGATCAAACACTCAGTGGACCTCAGTAAGGAAGAAGCAGACAGAGAGATAGCAGAAGGAGTTCAGGTCTTCACTGCTCTGAAGGAGTCTGTTGAGAGAAACCTGAATGAGTTCATCCAAACAATAGAAGGGAAGCAGAACATGAGAATGAAACGGGCCGAAGACTTCATCAAAGAGCTGGAACAGGAAATCTCTCAGCTGAAGAAGAGAAGTGCAAAAGTTGAGCATCTCTCACGGTCTGAAGACCACCTCCATCTTCTCCAGGGTGTCCAGTCCCTAAACATCCAAGACCCATCACCCACCAAGGACTGGACAAAGGTCAGCATCCCTCCATCATCATATGAAGGGACTGTGGTGAGAGCTGTGGGTCAGCTGGAGGAGACACTCAGCCAAGAGATGAAGAAGCTGCTTGAAGCTGAACTGAAGAGGGTCCAGAGCTACGCAGTGGATGTGACTCTTGATCCTAATACAGCACATCCTGAACTCATCCTGTCTGATGATGGAAAACAAGTCAGCGATGGTGATGTGAGAAAGAATCTCCCAGAAAACCCAGAGAGATTTTCTGATTGTAATAGTGTTTTAGGAAAGCAGAGTTTCTCTTCAGGCAGATTTTACTTTGAGGTTCAAGTTAAAGGAAAGACAGAGTGGGATTTAGGAGTGGCTAGAAGGTCGATCAACAGGAAGGGAACGGTCACACTGAGCCCTCAGGGGGGTTACTGGACTATATGTTTGACAAAGGGATTTGAGTATGAAGCTCTTGAGGATCCTTCAGTCCTTCTCTCTCTGAAGTCTCGGCCTCAGAAGGTGGGGGTGTTCGTGGATTATGAGGAGGGTCTGGTCTCCTTTTATGACGTAGATGCTGCAGCACTTATCTACTCCTTTACTGGCTGCTCCTTCAACGGGAGAATCTACCCATACTTCAGTCCTGGTCTTAAATATGGCCGTAAAAACTCTGCACCTCTGATCATCTCTCCTGTCAGAGTCACCTAATCACTCATCTTATTTCATGTATTGATTTGTTTTGTTGAAGGGAACAAACATTGATATTTAGAGTTATAACTGTATAGTTTCCATCTTGTTTTCTACAAAATAAGTTTGCTGTGTGGTGATTTACATATGGTTTAGATTCTGTACACAACACATAACTGGATGAATAATTCTACTCCACAATCCAATAATTATCTCTTCAACACTTTATCGTAACACATATGGAGAATATCTATATGAACGTTTGATAACGCTACAGATTTATTAAAAATAAAGTTGTTTCTAATGACACCAAATTTGTCAAGCTATAGTTAGAGTTGATAATAACATTAAATGTATTATAATCAATTTTTATAAAGCTTAATTAAAGAGAAAAGCTTATTACGTGCCTCTACTGTGTACTTAATAACATATTTGTAATAGTTATACTGCTAGAATCAGTCAAATGAAGCTAAATAATATGATAAATCCTCATTTGTGTTAAAAATGGTTTGGTTAATAACTGTTAACCTCTTAAGCACGAGGGCCCCCACAATCGGCGCAAGTGAAATATTTCTTTGAGAATGTGTCTCAGGGCTTCTTAACATTCATGAAACCTTTTAATGTGTAGTACCAGATTAACGGGAAGAATCTCAGCTAACTGATGATATGAACCATTTTTACCAAAACAAAACACAAGTCTCATATGAAGCGTCTAAATGACCCCTGAGCGAAAAAATGCAAACTGACTTTGGCACAGAACTCAAGATAAAGATACATTATTACTTATGGTAGCTGCACATACAATATATCCGAGTAAAGCTGAGACTCCACAGATTATATAGGTATAGTATCATTACTGAGCGATCCGAACTCGCGACAGGGGAAGCAAACACAGACATCACAACACGTACCTTTACAGAGCATTTACGGGAGATCGTTTCAATTTAGCTGTCATTCTGATCAAAAGTCGTGTTCAATGGCATTAAAACGATAGAAATGCTGCTGCGGGTTAATCCATAGTGTCCAATTAATATGTTTGTTGCTTTGAAAAAATTATTTATAATCCATAATTCAATTTTTATGAAAAGATCGGAGAAAAAAGAGTTAGCTGCTAATGGTAGCCACCAGAGTGTATGCAGCTTCTGGTTTTGGCCATGCATCACTCTCACTCCTTATTTGGTAACGTGTGTGTGTGTGAAACTTTCCCTCGATTCCATTGGCTCTAGCGGTTATAAAGAGATGTCATTCATCAATATCAACCAAGGGGGGGCAGAGATATGGAAAATCCACCCAAATGACTCCAAAAGTGTTTTTTTGTTGCTAAATCTCTCTAAAAAGGCCAAATTTCACTTGTTTTGCATCAATCTTGATAGTGTTCAATCTGAATTTACTTTAAAATAAAAACATCTCTATTGATTCTGACACTTCTACATCCAACTCACAGATGTAACCTTGCTTTGAGAAAAAAGATTATTAATTTAACCCTTTTAGAAGGGAAGGGAAGGTATGGTCATTTGTTCTGGGAATGTCATTTTCGAGCCTGAGACCTGAAAAACAGGCTCAGTGCTTAACAGGTTTTAACTTGTATATTTACATGCCAGGTTTTATATTGATTACTGGTAAAATGGCTTATGAATCAAAGACATCTGTAAATATGTGATTGCGAGTTATGAAAACAGTCAAATAAACTAGATGTTTGATCTGAGAAAGCAGGGACTCGAGCACTAAACACTGAACAGGAAGGTCTGGATTACACATCGTTTGTATTTCAAGACACATTTTCTGTGGCTAATTCACACAAAAAATAGAGCTGATGGCTTTTTTTGTGAAGAGCTTGTAGGATGAAATGTTTGTTTCCACTAGCAGTGATTGGATATTGGCTGTAGAGCAGAAAACAGTGGGGGTGATATCAGTGAGGTAGCATTCACTTTGATGAGTGAAGGCAGTCACTATAACACTAAAACTACTCTTTACAAGGAAGTATTAATGCCAACAACTAATATAAGGAAAAATAGGGTTTGATTTAATAACAATTTTTAAGGATATAACAGTTGGACTTAAGACTTACCATTTGCTTCCTGTAGTTTTGCCATATTTGTATAAAACTAGTTTCCCCCTTTGTGATATAAAACGCTGAATCAACATGATGTCCTACATTTGTTTGCATTGTGTCAACACACACTTATGTGTGTTTGTTGTGTGTGGTAGAAACAACTGGGTGAAATGTGATGAGGGTCACATGACTAATGGGGGTTGGCAAAAAGCCAGAATACACCTCTTCCCAGGTTCTCAGTTTTAACTCATCATGCATACACAAAACCCTCCTTTTCTCATACTTTGAAAAAATGCCTTTTCAAATGATTTCAATCCCAGCACATTTTATAATCAACAATAACTCAATGTGAAACGGATTAAATATGTTGTCTTTCATAACAAAATAAAAATAATTTCAAGGTCACTGGTCTTTGTTGTTTGTGTGAATAATGTGTTCAGTGTTATTTCAGATGACAGGAGACAAGTCTTAAAAACATAATAGGAAAACTTGATGGGTTTCTGTATGTCAAGGATCAAAACCAATCTATAAATCAGGCAAGATTTAAAAACACATGGCAATTAGAATGTATTAAACATTTTATTTCAGTGCTTAAAAACTCAGTATATGTATATGTTAACATAGAGCTTGTGGCAGGCCCTGCACCTGATGGCATAAACCCCATTATTGGTTGTAGGTTGCAGTAAAATGTGCATATTTAGTACGTAAAATGTGCGTAAATTTAGAGTCTGAAAAAAACTAAAAAAGTACGTATTTACAGAGTCTGAAAAAACTAGAATGTGCGTATTTAGTCTAAAAAAAACAAAAAAAAGTGCCTATTTAGAGAGTCGGAAAACTCCCCAAAAAGCGCGTATTCAGAGTCTGAAAAAAAACAAAAAAAGTACGTATTTAGAGTCTAGAAAAAAAGAAAAAGCGCATATTCAGAGTCTGAAAAAAACAAAAAAAAAGTACGTATTTAGAGTCTAGAAAAAAAGAAAAAGCGCATATTTAGAGTCTGAAAAAAAATAAAACGTGTGAATTTAGACAGTCGGAAAAAAAGCGCGTATTTAGAGTAAAAAACAAAACAAAAAGGCGCGTATTTAGAGATCGGAAAAAAAATGAAAAAGCGCGTATTTAGAGTCGAAAAAAACTAAAAAAAGTGCGTATTTAGAGTCTTAAAAAAAACGAAAAAGCGCGTATTTTGATCCAATCCGCAATTTTTCTGATATATTTGCTGATATTTCTCCAATAATCAATTGTTTGTTAACATTTTGAGAAATGACGTCACAATTACCAAGAGTCCAACTTCACAATATTTGTTTTGTCCAAACCTCATAATTACTAATACACTTTTTACAATTATTAAAAAGGCACGATCATGCTTCTTGGGTTTTTCCTTTCCTGTGTTCTAGGTTTTAGTGCATGTAAATGGTCTGCAAAGGCTAAAATCCCCATGTGATCCCTCCAGATTGGCTAGTGTTCCAACACATTGTACGTGATAGGCTAAGGGGCGGGACATCTCTAAGCGGTTGACCAATTCCAACAGAGCCGGCCAGCTAACCAATCAGAGCAGACTGGGCTCTGGTTTCAGACAGAGGGTGAAAAGAGGTGCTGCTGCACAGGGAGTATGAGAAAAATAAAGATATTTTTGAACATTAAAGCATGGAGACATGTCACAGTAGAGACACTACATACAATCCTGGAACATTTATGAATGAGAATGTAAGCCCACAGCATCTGTAACAACTTTCAAACAGTTTATTTCTCATTTTTCCATGTATGAAGTTTCAGTGATGCAGCAAAGATGAAAACAGGAGTGAAACTCTAAGACTGAATCCATGTGGCCTCCATCACAAACATCCCTTTAAACCCCAGCAGACATTTCAGCACCGACTCAAATCAAACAAGCAGGAAACCAACTGTTAATAAGAAAATCAAAAGTGAAGAAACAAAAACATCCCTAAAACAGATCGAGTGGCAGGCGACTAAAAAACATTTAAGATTACAGTTTTTTTTCCATGTTTAAACCTTTATTGGCAACATCAACGTGCTTGAAATGTTCATGTTTTTATTCATCACCATTATTTATATGTAAACACAACACGGTCTCACTGAATTTCATGAAATGAGCCAAAACTCTGAAATGCAAAATGAATAAACTACAATACAAATGTTAAAGATTACTTATCCTCACCATGAAATACGCTATCTGATAATAACACAACCCTGACACCATGTCCACACTCTTAAAATATGAAACTATTACAGCTAAATAAACAGTTTTTTAAAGCAGCTATTTCTCATGATCTCTATCTAGTTGAACATGCACCAAAAACTGTAGTTTCTTATTGTATAATTGTATAAAAATTCAAATATGCAAGTGGTCAAACCAGTAATACACATACTAGCATGCACAGAGTAGATTATTTGCATTCGCAAGACATTTCACTCATTTCATTAAATGTTGAGACCAGCTTTGAAAAAAGACCTTTAATAAAGCTTTTAAAGAGCTTTTAATAAAATCGGATCTACATGCAAAGAGCAACGGGCAGAAGAAGAAGATAAAGAAGAGGAGATCACACGTCATGCAAACACATCACAAGTCTCTCGTTTCAGGTAGAAAAGTCTTGCAGAGCGTCGGTAAATCAGCAGTGTACTGAATACTGAGTACAGCAGGTCTTTCTAGCGCTTTAACGGCCATTTTTGTTGTTTCCCTCCTCAGCTTTGCTTCTCCCCCCAAGAGAAAGTCGGAGGATAAAGACGTGAATGTCCGAAAGCAGACGAGCTGCAAAAGCACAGATTCAGCTCACTACCGCAGAACATTTCTGTGTCTCTCAAAATCATTTACAGCCACGCCTCGGAGCTTGTTTTTCACTAAATCTTACAGTAAAAACAAAGAGAATGGATTTTTTTGTACAGTTTTCCCAACCTGCGGTAGCCCTGCTTGTTGCTCAACGATCATCGGCTTTACAGTTCCTAATTTTCATAAAGCAAGAGATGTTTGAATTTCTACTCATTTTCTTCAAATGTGCAGAAAATGTAAAACCGTTGAGGAGTTCCTATTGGCTGAATTCAAGCTGCGACAACTGATCTTATTCCACTAAGCTGAGAGTGTCGAATCTACAGATGTGTGTGTGTGTGAAGTAATATTACTTTCAACATCAACGGTAGGCGCTGTTGAAAAAAATGCAGACTCGTCCCTGACAGTATTCATGCATATCGTAATTACAGGTTTCCAACTTGTACTTAATATTCAACATGTTATTACAACTCGGTGCTTAATTACACAAAAAGTGCCTAAAAAAAGCAAAACAAAAATGGACGCTCATGTTAGCCAAAGTCTGAAAACATGTAGTGCCCAATCTCCCTCTGTCCTCCTGACAAAATGACTGTAAAATGAAGCTGTTTTTTTAAGTGTAAATGATGCAATACTCCAGTAAGATAAATGCATTCAATAATACAATTACATCTCTAAAATAAAAGACACAGATTTTTTTTTTTTTTATATATATATATATGTATATATGTATATATACACCTGTAATTCAACTGCATGTCATAAATTGTTGTTGGCACTTCATGCTGTGTTTGTGTTGTTCTGAAATCAAGTAACGTCACCGCTAAATACACTCATCCACTAAAGTGAACTCTCTTTAAGATAGACTTCCTTTGATTCTCCAAGAAAAAAAAAAACAATGACACCAAAATAAATATAAAAAACCCACATACCTTGAAAAAACCAGTAAAACATACAGAACACATACACACTCAAAGACACACACACGCACGCACACACTCACACTCCAGCTTTCCTCCACCAAACTGAAACCGCCGCTCTGCGTTAAAAAGCCGTCCGTCAGCTTTTTTTTTGAAGTGCGGCGAGTCAGAGAGAGTTCCTGTTCGATAATACTTGGTGAGAGTTTGGCTTCAGAAGGCTCGGGGAGGGGGGACGGGGGGGGAGGGAGGGGGGACGGGGGTAAGGGAGGGAGGGGAGGATTTTTCACAAAGAAAATACTTTCATTGAGCGTATTGTTGGACGACGTCTTCAAGCAGATCTTCAGTAAATGGAGGAAGAAAAAGAACAAAGTTGTCAGACGTCCACCACCATCTTTTTGTGAATGTCTAATCCACCAACGACCTGCGGGAGACAAAGGGGGGAGGGGGGGGGGGTCACTTTTCAGTTTGTTTACATTACTTTTTGACACATGAACATTTTTCTGTAAATGACCAACAGGGAGTGTAAAAAAAAAAAACTTGTTTAAAGAGACCCTACTTTGCTTTTTGGGGGTTTCCCTCTCCTGTAGTGTGTTATAAAGGTTTTAGTGCATGTAAATGGTCTTCAAAGGCTAAAATGTTCCCGCCTCCATGGGACTCCTTTGTTTTTTTTAGGAACATAGTGACATCACTCTGTAACACATACTCTTCTATTGGCTAGCATTGGTAACACATGGTACGTGATAGGCTATCTCTAAGCGAATGTCCTATCACATTTTGATGGCATACTTACTATACTATGGCTTTAATGCTACATTATTATATATAAGTTTACGTGAGTACTGTATATATAGTAGTATAGTATTGTCTATGTTCTATGTCTACTGTTTAAAATCTGCCGGTAAATAGATTTTTTCCCCTTTAAGGGTTTAAAATAAAAGTATAAAACAGACACTATTTGCCTAAAATATAATACAGCGTTTTTATGACCTTTGAAGGACATGCTAGGATTTTTCTTTTAGCCCCTAGTTTGGGGTAACGGCACTTTTTACTGTTTAACTTCACTCTTATAAATCTAATTGAATCACTTTAAATAGGAGATAGCAGCTGATAACAGTATAAAGAACACGTTTATTGTCAGACCAACACGTTTAGCTTGTGGCCTTTATGTTGTTCTCACAATTAAGATAATTAGATAAGATGAAAAGTACTTCATTGATCACTATTGAGTAGAGCAGGGATGACGTATTTTTGTAGGCCGACCTGGAAGTAAGCTGCTCATGGGTTCCCTCGACAATAATGCAACAGGATTTCTCCATTGGATTTTGGAATATTGTAAAAAATAAGATCTGTGGAAAACGGACCCGTTTGATAAATGCACGTTTTGTTCAGTCGGATAATCTCCACGTCTACCCTACTTTTATAATTTTCCAATCATAAATCTAATCACCAGAAGCAAAATGCTAACGTTATGCTATAAAGGAACTACAGCAGGGTCACACGACTTCAACGTCACGCCAACTTTAGATCCATATTCAAACATACAGATTCTAAATGGTACGAGTTGAAGCGTTCGTTTGAACAGTTAGCAGGAGGCAGGTACTTGCTTTCAAGCAGAACAGGGCAAACAAACTTAGCGGGAGTGTTTTACGTGTTCGGTGTAATGACGTCCTCGACAACTTCTGTAGTCCTATTCAGCCTCTTGTTAACAA